CTCTTTGAAGGCATGGGAGACCCATCAAAAATTGACACGCCGAAGATCTCCAGGAGCCAGATTAGCTGTAAGTGAATTGTTCCTTCTTTCCATCTGTGTTTTCCTAACTTCCCATGGTTTAATAGCCAGAGCAGTGTCCCTTCTACCTGGTACATACAGGTATTCTTGATTACCAGCATAACATCCAAAGATCATTTGTTTTTCAGGTGGTGGTTCCTCAACAGTAACGCCACCGTGAAGAGGCAATGGTAGCACTGGTAGGCTGTTTTCTCTAGTAGTTTGTTTACCACTTTCTTACCACTTGTTTCTGGGATCAGCAGTGACTCCTCTATCATCTCCATCAAAAGCACCCCCATCAAGAAGCAGCAGTGGTAGCACTGGTAGGTTGTTTTCTCTCATTATGTTTTTTGTATTCTTACGGCTCCTTTCCAGGATTGGCTAAGCTTGCCCTCCAAGCCATGCCTGATCTGTATGGTCACTACGCAAATCTCATGGCCCGCCACCCACACCTCGAGTCTATGACTGTTATCCCCCCAAATATCCATGATCAAAATGGTGCTATAATACTCCCCTCTGACTATTTGATGAAGCTGGGTAACCAAACACCTGTCTTCATAATGGTCAAGCTTAGGCTGTGAGTCTTTTCCTTGTCATATGTTATGCTGCTACTTACACTTAAAGTACCTGCTAGCTGGGAGATCTCTCCACAGAGTGAAGAAAAGAGGGCCACCTCTGGGTTCAAATCTCGAGAGGGTGAAGAGAATGGTAGTAGGATATATCAGTTGGACTTGGTGCTTCATGAGATGACCCTGCTCCCCAGCAACATTCCTGCATACAATCTCATACCCCCCAAAGAAACCAACATCGAGTACCCAAATGGCAATGAGAAAATGGTTGCTCAGGCTAGCATTGACCTGGGGAAGGTGAGGAAGCAGGTGTTTGGTGGATTTGATGCTGACAACAGGATTGTTGGTAATCCCAAGAAGATCTGCTTGGTTACAGAGGATAGCAACATCAAAATGACCAACGATGATGTCTTCACCTAATAATCACTGCTCATTTTATTTTTGGTACCATTTCTTATTCTTATTCCATCTCATGATTCCAAGTCATCTGTCGCTGTGATGTATGTCGATTATTTACTTGACAAATATGATGTCTCCTTGAATGTGTTCTAATAAAGGGTGGGACCTGGATGAATGCTGACAAAGAGTCGGGGACTTGGTGCGAAGCGCCGCTAACGATTATGTAACTGGATACTCATAGCTGTCAAAGATCTTCTATTCAATCAGCGGCTGTACGAGTTTCTCCTCCCACGGTAAAGACGATGCTGACCTTTCTACTGCACCCTGACCCTAGGAAGGACCCCTGAAAGTCCCTATGATTCAAAAAATTAGGCCGGGACAGATTGGTAAAAGGCATCCAGACAAAAGGTACCCGAAGACCCCAAAAGCCCACTAAGACTACTGATCTAAAGAATCTGCAAAGTGCCACTATGGGAGCTGTCCGGATAAAAACGAGCCTGTTTGAGCCAAATTGCGAGGTCAGTTGCCCAGGTAAAAATTGGGTCATCTGAAATTTGCTTGAGCTGAAGTTGAGCAACTTGCTGGATAAAATTTGTCGTTCTGGGAGGGCTCGAACCCCAGCATTACAAACCATATCCATACCTGCACCATCTGATTTTACCAATCTATGTATGTCTCGAAAGCCTACCGTTCACGTACGGTGCCAACGGGTTTGGAAAATTTTACGTATGCACCGTTACTTTCCAAACTCGCGAAGTCGAAGATGCTGATTGCCATTCAAGCTCGGATTGGTTGTGTTATTATGTGCCAGACACTTGGGGTTTTGGGTACTCATGTGAGACAACGGTCAACTGCAGCTGTCTACTATAAAGCCTCAGGTGAGTAAATCCACTGGACATGAGGTCGTAAAATGGTGTCCAGCCACCAGAGACACAAAAAAAAACAGGTCCTGGGCAAAATTTGGAAGCCTGACAGATAAAATTTGGTGATTGTCGATGGATGAACCGAAGACTACCCAAAAATCTCTGGACAAAAATCGCAGTTTCTGGATCAGTTTATTTTGAAGGACTTTCGGGGTCCTGGATCCGGGGAGCTCAAGCCTCATTGCAGATCCAACTCCGGTTCAAAATTGCCATTTTGAAACGATCTACTCTTCAAAGGCCGGTTTGGCAATCCGGACAGATACCACGAAAAATGGAGTCCGACGGACAGAAAAGGCAAAATCAGGGAATTTTTGGATCCAGCCTCTCCAGGGGTCCTCCCATCGAGCGCTTCTGTGCTTTGAACTGCATGTTGCAACTATCCCGCCCGCCCCCTACTAGAGATGTCCCAATTTCATGGGAGGCAATTTCTCATCGTTGGAGGTCGTTTTTTCAACACTACCAACAACAATAGCCACCCTGTAGCAGGCAGCCACGATGGTATGTTGGATGCTCATGATTCGTATCACTGCAGTTCTTGAAGAGACGTGTCTCAAGGTCTCGATATGCTCATGGGACATTGCGCTTTAGGAGCAATGCACGACTCTGAGGATCGTTCCAATGCTCCCAAGTGTGACCCCGACACTCGAAGTAGCGTCATAAAGGAGATCTTAACGTGGGCAACGGGAACCGAAAGTTCATCGCCGATGCTATGGGTTCATGGATCTCTCGGGGTTGGAAAGAGTGCACTCGCTCAGTCCGTGGCAGAGCTGTGCTGCGAACTTGGCTGCTTAGCCGGTAGTTTCTTCTTTTCTAGGAAGGCTACCGACAATCGATGGGATGGACGATTGGTGATCCCGACCCTCGTCTACCAGCTTGTACTGTCCATTCCCGACACACGACCGTTGGTTAAGAAGGTTATCAAACAATATCCCTCTATTTTCACACGAACTCTGGAGATTCAGATGCGTCGCTTGTTCATCGAACCCCTCAATAAAGTGGCAGAGAACTTGTTCAAAAAAATATTTAACCGACCACGACCTAAGCTCATCGTCGTCGATGGCCTTGACGAATGCTCTGACCGAGAGGTTCAATTCACCCTCCTGAAAATACTCACTGACTGTCTTCAGTCCCTCCGGTTCCCGCTTAGAGTGTTAATCACTAGTCGTCCCGAGGTACACATCACTCAACGATTTACACACTATCTACCAGTATCCCCGTATGTCAAAAATTTCAACCTTTCCGAGGACTCATGCACGGAGTCCGATATCCGTACTTTTCTCAGAAAGGAGTTTAGCGAAATCAAGCGAACACACCCTTTTACTTCATACATCCCAGAATCCTGGCCGAATGATCAAGACATTGAAGACCTCATCCGATGTTCCTCTGCTCAATTTATCTATGCCTCTACTGTGATCAAATATATTCGTTCCGATAGACATCAGCCAGTCGAGCGTCTCAAGGTGATCCTTGGACTTTCTGACTGCCCGATTAATGACACTCCTTATGCAGAGCTAGACGCGCTGTATACCGAGATGTTGTCATCGGTCGAACATACCGAACCCGTCTTGAAAGTCTTGGGCATCCTTCTTATACCAAGGGTAAAAGGCGATAACTTTGGTGATTATTCTTCACCGGCCTCATTAGAACGACTTCTTTCTTTGAGGACCGGTGAAGTTGTACATTTTTTAGTGGCCTTGGTGTCTGTTTTAATCATCCCCTCAGACTCCCCTGATATCCCCATCCGGATCCTACACGGTTCGTTGGCTGGTTATCTGTTTGATCGGTCTAGGTCAGGGAGATTTCATTGTGACAGAAGGCTTTCGCATTCGCTTCTTGCGAGTGGTTTCATGAAGTGTGTTCTGCCGTCAAACTGTAAGTGGCAATGTACTTTAAAAAAATAGCAAATTTACCCACTGCTCTGAAAATTTTACTTTCCCTTGTAGATGCACCGTCAGATCAAGAGAATGATCCTTATTGTTGTTCTTACTGGGACTCAATTATGGCCCACCTCAGCGAGGCCAATCATACCAAAGAACTTCAACATGACTTTTCCAAACTCATTCGTGCTTTCCCAGAGTCACAGTTCTATTTTCAACAACAAAAACATCTGTCACATAATGACAAAGTCGCCATCCTGGATTATTCTTGGTCTTGGGCGATTTCATTATTTCGTGTTGTGAAAACGAATGTGGGTGTGTTAATTGCCTGGAATGAAAGTGATCCTGAAGATTTTCGCATAGATGAACAAATCGCTGCAAGATTTCTTCCGTGAATTTGACAAATATCACGAGCAACATGTCATTCACTCTGATACTCACGATGAGCTCGCTAACGTGCTTACGCTGTTGGTTCTTTGTGGGCAATCGCTCCGGGTTTTTGATGAGGACAGTTTGAAGATCGAGGCCTTGCTCTTGATGCTTCCAAGACCAGAGTCTGAATCCTCATCTAGAGCGCAACGATATCATCACAGACGAATGTATTTGGAGCTACTGTGCGATTTCCTGCGTGATCCTAATAGATCGGGACAATATACTGTGAGTGGCGCAAAGTTCGCTAAAGCTGCACTGGCGTGTCTCAAGCCGATTTGTGGTCCTCGCGATCGGTTTGTACAAATAAATTTCCACTGCAAGAATCGTCACTTCATTCATGATTTCATCTAGTAGTGACCCTACGACGTTTCTATCGCCGGCAGAGAGGCCGGCTAGTTGGCAGTTGGCAGAGGGTCAGAGGACGGCCGACCTTGTATTCATCACGTTATCGACGGCAGTCCTTCAAAAAGCGACGGCTACTAAGGAGCTTTCATTGTTCGTGACTAGAATGGGGGTATACAATACGTTAGTGGAGCCTTTTCGAAAAGAAGTTAATGAATTAATCAGTGTGATGAAAGGTTTTGTCGAGGTATGTTTTTGTTTATGCCATTAGACAATATCTTCTGAAAAAATTGTTGTACAGTGACCTTCGCCATTCATTTCACCCTATGTTTCCTTGATTCCTGTCCACGCTACAATATATGTATTTTGCTCATCCGCTATCCTACAATTTATGATCAAAATGGTTCAATCCAGGATCGAACTGGAGACCTTCTGTGTCCATCGTAAGATTGTGAGACAGAAATCATAACCACTAGACCATTGAACCGTGTTTGTCCTGTCCAACTAGCGACTAATCGAAGGGAAGTCATGTTTTTTGCCCAACTTGGTGAGTCATTGGTGATCCTAACCACAATTTGACACAAAATTTAGGTGGATTTTCTTACAAATATGTAGACTCAGTCATGGGATTACATTCCCAACGTACCAATCGAATTATCCGAGCATGTGGGAACTTTTCTACTCTTGTTGTCGTCCAAACTCTTGAGTCTTAAAGACCGCGACTCGGTAACAAATTGTACCGGCGCGTTCTTCTTGATTTGACTCATCAAACTTGTTCATTGGACATAACATGTCGTTCTCGCCCCCCCTCCACATTGCTTCGCATTCCGCGAACGGCAGCAGCGGTAACAGCAGCAGTCATGGTTACAATCCTACGTGCCTTCGCCATCAGGAAGACCTGATCAATGCATATGAAGCTGAGGAGGAAAGGATCATCAATGTTCTCTCAAGAAAGTTGGAGCAGGTACTATGAATTCTTTTTAATCCCTGTGATCAATCCCCTTCCCTTCAAATCTTAACTTTAAATATGTTGCTGACTTGTCCCCAAGCTCAAAGAAGATAACATCCAATTGGAAAACACCCTCGAAGCCGAATCAGAATCGCATGTCAACAGACTATCGCGCGAGTTGTCCGCACTGAGGATCGCACATCATCAATTACAGCAACACCAACAACAGTCACAGTCGCCTCAAGAACCATCATCACCATCTCTCCGATACAACAACGTAAACTCGGCGCCCACTGGTTTTATAAGCCCAAACATGTCTCCCGACAACCGTCGAGGCTTCAAGTCCTTTGTCTCCTCCGGTCGGTGGGGCATGGATCCGGGGGAGCCGAGTCCTGAGATGATGCTCGAAGCGATGAGAAGGGAAAATGAGCAGCTGAGGAATAAGTTGGTGGATACCGAGAGAGACTATATTCGGATATCGCGATTGAATGAGATTTATAGGGAAGAGTTGATTGATCATCGGAGAAGGGTAGGTTTCTTTACCGCTACTTATTTTCCTTCCGTGTTCATCCCGATATTCTTTTCTTTCCCCTTTTACTAGTTGGGCTTAGCAGTGGATAACTTGATCGGCTTGAGCTCCTCTGATCCCTTTTCACAACCGACACATCGGCGATCGTCTTCAGCGTCGTCCTCTGGACAGGCCTATTTCTCTAACACTTCATCACCATCCACCTCTGCTTTCCACATCCCATCATCATCTTACGTTCCACGACACGCTCTCCCGCAATCTCATACATCCAACCACCCTCATACACACATAGGAGTACCTATCCCCCGACCGCCATCTCAAATTCACCGCCCTAAAAACAATATCTCTTCAGAATCCAACACTCCTCTCTCGTACTCTCCATCCTCAGCACCATCAGCAGAATCTTCCCCACTTTATCCTTTCTCACCTGTTCCCTCTTCCTCTTCCTCGCCTCCGTCATATGCTAACCCAACAAGCTTCGTGAGTGTCTCTACGAATTTGACTACGCCGCCTTCTAGCATGTCGTTCAATTCTGTCGGTTTGGGTATGGGAATGGGCTATGGTCCTACATCGAGAGGGTTGTCGTACCCTTCTGTCCCTCCTCCTTCCTTGTCCTCGTCGTTTGGTTCTCCGACTGTTTCTCTGCTCCATATTCCTAATGGGAGTGGACGGGATGCTTCTTTATCTCCGGTTGAGCCTCTGAGTAGGAGAAACTCAAATGCTGGATCAAGCGTTGGCGGCGGCGGTAATAATGCAAGACGAGGAAGTTTAGATCGTAGAATTGTAGAATCGGGTAGTTTGAGAAGCGGTTCGGGGGCCGGCGGCGGTAGTCAGAGTCGTCGAGGGAGCTTTGATCGCGGGGTACCTATAGGCGGAAGACTAGCTGAGACAGGTACGTTGCTTATGAGTGGGAGGAGTGGAAGGAGCCGAGCTGGGAGTCAGACTCATGGACATTGTGTTCCTGGTAGTGGTGGACCGTTGCCAGAGACGGTGAATGAAGTAGAGGATTCATCATTGCCAATCACTGAAACATTGGAACTTGGGGAGGTTTCGAATAGTTCTCCAGCTTTTTCTGGGACGGGAACGGGGATGTTGGATAATAGTGACTTGGATATACCGTCTACCAAGTCGCGATGATGGTTGAATCAACGATACAATACTCCTTGAAGGGAGAGGCTTGTTCATGCCCTTTTAACTTTCTTTTAGTCATAGTTATAATATATACTTCGCTCTCTAACAACTAAAATAATTTTTTGCCCAAGACGCTGTATCTCCGTTGCTGTGCATTGTCGGTAACAATGTACGTAAGATGTTGGAATGTTGATCCTCTGTTGTGGGTTCATTCTTTTAGCTCCAACTCCTAGTCCAGAGGACTGGTACAATGAGAACACCATCCGTGCAGGTTTGGCGGGCTTTACGACATGGATATCCATAAAAGGCTAATTATAGCCACGTGACTCCCGCCGTACGGGACTAGGACCCCGAATATTGGCCAATAAGGAGGCAGGAAAGTGCGCCGACTTTGGGGTCCTGATGCCTCATGTCCCCATTGTCCTATAACTCGGGAACGCGTGAGTCACATGTAGTTGGACTCCCATATATAAAGGACTTCTGTGATGAGTCCGTAACCTTTTTTTTCCTCGTACTTGAACTGAAGCATGTCCTATCCTTTCAGTGATCAATTTGATACTAGTAATTTCATGAATGAATCGCAGCAACAACTTTCCCCAGTAACTGGTTATCCGCAGTGGGAGACTATCGAGCGCGGTGAACAGCAACAGCAGCAACATCAAATCGAGTCACCTTTGGATACGAGCATGGATAGTACCACACCGACAGGTCCTACGCCCATTGCTTTCCGTACTATTAACCTCGAGATGGATGAGATGTCCCGTAACTTAATATCTCATCAAGCTTCAACTTCGCAGATGGATAACACCCCAATCATTTTACAACACCCTCATGCTCTTCACCAACAGTTGCACCTGCAGCACCAGCACCACCAACAACAACAACAATTCCATCAACGACAACAATATCATGGCCAACAATCCCGACAACCTTCAGTTGAACCCTTCTCAACTCAAATTAGCCGCCCAGGCTCTTCTTCACAGCATCACATTGCCACTAGCCCCACTGATGCCTTCTCGTCACAAAGTACTACTCCCAACCCGGCAACAGAATCAGGTCCGTCAACCTCCAATACTGCTGGTGGACGTAATACTTCTCGGAAGACCTCTGGACCAATCCGCTCCTCAGGCCGCGTCACCCGTGCTCAACAGCAGGCGCCTTACTTCCGTCCCTCCCCGGCAAGCACTACAGCTTCTTACCTAGGCCTTGAAGTTCCCCGTGCTGGGTCCTCCGGTTCCTCTACGCCCAGGCTTCCTCAACAGGCTGAACCGCAACCGAGAAAGCAAACCGTTAGGTTTACCGCTGCTGCTACTGGACCTGGACCTATTCAAACGAGAGCGGCTTCAAGGGCGGCGGCTTCGTCCATGGGTTCCCCTGCCCCTCAGCTTCCAGAATTTGCAGGATCTGCTGCAACGTAGGTTTTTATTTCTTATTCCGCTCACATGAACGTTTCGTTGATGATTGGATTGTTTCTAGACCGCGCCAGACGGAAATAGGATTTTCTCCAATGACTCGGCGCGCTTCGCGTCAGGCTACGAGTCAAACTCAAGCTCCTTCTCAACAGCCCCCAAGCGCCCATTCCCATAGCCCTCCACAAGCTCCTCCTTCATCAAATCCCCAAACCCAACCCCAAACCCAACCACCCCAAGCGTCCTCCGCTGCAATTCGCTCCTATCTTCACGCCCGCCGCCGCTATCCCCTCAACATTACCTCCGACATGCACTACTCCCAATCCTCCAACATCCTTCACGCCTCCCTGGAACTCCCAGGTGTCAAAAAACAAGATGTACATATCAAACTTGCCACTTGTTATTTCAATCATGTGAAATTCATTAGTGTACACGCGGAGAGTAATCCTGTGTTTGACCTGCCTGGCGCCGTTGAATCTGGGACCGGGACGGGCAGTGGAGCTCAAGATACTTCAAGCGAAACGAAGCAGAAACGAACAAGTATCAATCCGGATTTACGAGAACGAAGGTTTGGATCGCTGAAGAGGGTTATTCAGGTACCTTCTACTACCAAGGTGCGTAATTCCCACTTTAGCAACCCCCTTCACCCCCTCGTCACCTTATTCCTCCCTGAAAATTATCATTACTCCTTTCGCCTCCCTTTCTCTCTCTTTCTCTCTCTGTGTGAAACGTGAGTTTTTGATTGTCGTTCTTTGATTTTTTCCCCTGCTCCGCCCCACCCTCCGTCTGGCGCAATCCTTACTTGGCGAATTGCGAATTGGCGAATTGGCTTTAAAATTTGGCATATTTTTTTGTTTGTTTCTGGCTATATTATTTCTTGGCGGTTGTGAACCAAAAAAAAATTGCGTTTTACCCTTTTTTTTTCTTGTTTCACACCTCGAAAATAAAATAAAAAATACCAAAAACAAAACATTGTGCCTATGCCATTCCAAAACGCATGAAACAAATTCGCTTCAACACATGGACGCTATGCACGGATCCTGGTACTTTTGGTGCTATCCGCCGTTGCTGCCATGATTTCGACTCAAACTTGGTCGACCATTCAATATATTCAACATCCACCTAATTAATTAATCAACAACACATACAACGCGTGATCAAAAACTCTACATCAACAACGGAACCTCTAGCTCGAAGACATAGACGCGTTCATGGAAGATGGCGTGCTCAATTTGAAGATATATTGTGGCAAGCCTTATGAGTTGGACGATGAGCAAACGGTTTTGATCCGAAGTTAGTGATTCATGAAGGCCCCTCAAGACTTTTCCTTTGCCTCCTTTCTTGCCTTCCGACTACCGCAAACCCAACTTTCTGCCTCTGGTCCATCCGCTCGCTTTGACAGTGCGCTTTCTTTGAGTTGTGAATTGTGATGTTAATCATCAGTATCAGTGAAGCGTTTTATGAATATTCCCAAGTCTTCTCCCCATCTCCCTCTCTTTCCACCTTCAGGCTTCCCCTCTCTCCAACTTTCAAGCTTTCGAACTCAAGATCTCTAAACCCTGTTCATCAAGCCCCTCAGGACCTTTAATTCAAAGACTTTAATTCCCAAATTTACCGCAAATGCATAAATGTTTTTATTACAGGTTTTTTAGATTCATCTTTATACCTTTTCCTCCTCGGACTCAACATCGAAAAAAAAGGATACCTTTCTTGGAATCGCCTGCAGCATACTGTTTCTATATCGCCCCACTCCTCCTTCCTCCTCTACCTCCTTCGCGTTCTTTTCTTGCCCTCCGTTTCTCCCCGTCTCCTCCCTCATCTCATCTTTGCTCCCCTCTCCATCTTTTCTGTATATATATATACACGTATCGCATCATCTTTCCGTATCATCAACTTCGGACCTGTGTATTCATTTCATCCATATATCATTTATTAATCTACGACGCATATACTTTCTTCTCTTTCTTTCTTTCTTTTCTTGCATTTATATAACATTATATATCTACTTACTTTTCGACTGGCTTAACAATACTCCTCAACCCCTGTTCAAATCTCATAGTTCATAGTATATAGTATATACCTCGCACTGTTGTAAGTTCTGCATAATCTACATGCATTGCTCGTCGCTAGCCGTCTTTTTGAGCCATGTCCCGCCATGTCAATCTATATAGCTTGAAACCCCGGTCAAATTGTCAATGTCCTTAAGCTGTATTCAGGTTATCTTCTCCTTGAAAATTTCATCCTCGATCTCTCTCGCATACAAGACCACAGCCTGCCTATACCTGTATTCGCAGTCTCATGTGTCCGGATGTCCCAACGTCACGCAGAGAATGTGCGATACATGTTTGTCGAGACTCGATAGAAGGTAAGTTCCTCAAAAATTCCCATGCCACCCGTCGCAACCTTCAGCACACCAACAATCCCGAACCTGATCCATATGAAGAGTCAGAACAGTGAACGAGCGACTGTTAACAAAGTTGGGGTGTCGCTGTTCGTAAGATTCAAAGTTGTGTTCTCAGTTTCCAACAGCAAGGCCTTATGGTCTAGTAGCATGATTCTTCCTTTGGGTAAATCCAATATGGAAGAGGTCCTGGGTTCAATTCCCAGTGAGGCCCTTTTTGTTGCTTCGGCCCTCAAGTAAAAATTGCTCTAATTCAATCACCTGAATTTACCCCGAGGCTTAATTGGTATTAGCAAATTGTCGATACATGAGACATGAAAAAAATTTATCAAAACACATATACATCCTTCGTTCTGGTTCAATCCAGGATCGAACTGGAGACCTTCTGTGGACACAAGTGTGAGACAGAAATCATAACCACTAGACCATTGAACCAATATCAATGCTCGTCGATTTTAACAGCGACCATTAGAAACTTTGATTGTGAGGTCAATGTGACCAACTTCGAGTTGGGAACTTTATAAAATAGACGCTCGTTAGTACTCCCTTGCAAATGAACAAGTGGTTGGTTGCTCTCGATAAATCGAAACAACGCCCCAAAACTGCAAAGCTTCACGTAGCGCTTGCTCAATTGGTGAACGGCGCCCGGAAATGACAGCAACACCGTTTTGAATGCGCTGCAATGATATGTACCGAAGTAACATCTATGACCCGACGGCCCGTAGTTGCCAGCGAGTAACTAACCAATAACATCATGACCACTGAAGGCAGGTTCAAAAATAGAAGGAATGGTGGTTCGAAATGTAGACAGGGTCTCATGTTACAGCTCAATTTCATTCTCCTGCTCCATCTGTGAAAAAAGAAAGACAAACAATTTTAATCCAAAGGTTTGACATATCTAGGTATATAACAAAAGACTCGGAGGTCCGTTTCCGTGGAGATCACACAAACATATTTTTGGGACGTCGTCTCCCAGCGTCTCCGGATGAGCCGACTGGGAATAGCTGGAATTTCATGCCGTTCCGTTCCAAGATCGTGAGTTGTTTGATTAATTGATAAAGAACCACATGGGATTTGGTGGCGTGGGCGTGGCAGTATATATGATGGCTGTGAAGGAACCAGAAGATAAGAAAACCGAAAATCACAGGTAGGCCCAGGTTCGGTGTGAAATTTGATATTTGAACGTAGCGTAATACGAATTATATATGATGATGAGGAAAGAACACGTGCTATTTGTGTAGTTTTTCAAAAAAAGTCCGCGAATGATGAAACAACAAAAAACCAGGAATAGAAATACTTGTGATATGGGAAAGGGGAAGACTAAAAACCCTGATTGCCACGAGGAATAAGGAAATCGTACAGAAAAGGTAAGTAAAGTACAGATGATCTTTGAGTTTGTGATGGTAAAATTGGATATTTAAATGAGAAAACAAAATCAAGTTACATACTGTGAACAACTTGAATAACGGTCGATTCCAACAGCCTATAAGCAATGGAGAGAGGCCTCTCATTCGGCAGGAGCAAGGGGATCCTGGATCCTACGGCAGGTAGTCGGCCAAGTGTTTTTTTTTAGTGTGTACAACAGAATGTGTGTAGTACAAGAGTGTGTCGTAAAACATCTCAATCGAGGTAGAAAAGTATAGATTGCATGTGTAAAGGGTGATCCCGCCATGAAAGATCTCCAAACAACGTAGTTGGAAATTGGTATTGGGGAGTAGCTTTCGATTATGATTCATTCATCGTCTGGGTATGATAACTTTGCTGGTAATGGCGTCATGATAGTCGTTGTCACATAGGCGTCGTCAAAATAAGATGGTAAAAGATGGGATCCAGGGAAGATTCTTCAAAATCCTTGCAACTAGCGCTCGAATAAATTCCAAAGACCAAAGATGCAGATACGATATGATCCCAGGTGAAGTGGGCACGTAGACGCCTCCGAGGTATTTGACGGTCACGGTATAGTTGGGGGGGGATATTGATCACTTTGATAGATCGGAACTTCTCCACGATAAATGGTAAGTATAAGTAAGTAGGACCTTGGAGTTACAGCAGTTTAGATTGTTTGAGATGTTGACGGATTACCATGTCGCGCACTGAGACATAAAGGTTGTTCAGGCCTACACATTCTGCACGGAAATGAGGTTAAAAACGTACCGCTGGCAATAATACCAGCAGTGGTGGCAGTATCCGTGACACTGGTGCAAAATGCATAAAATTTCCTGGGGTTAATCGAGTATTCTCGATGGATTGCACTAAATTTCCCACGAAGGTCTAAACATTCAAGATAATCAACTTCCGTCCGTCTCATAGCGGGGAAGAGTACGTACATTTGCTGACAGTGTCAAGGTCGTTTTCCCGATCGCCATAACTCCGAACGTATTTTGTCAATCTGGGAAAATATGGAAGGTCAGTGAAGGCTGAATGACGACATGACAAAGTCCGAGGTTCAAGAGGTAGACGATCAGAGGGGAAAATAGAACTGAAGGCCGGACAAACGGTTCATGGCATGTTGGGTGGGGCATTCCGAGACAGCGGGGAGAGAAGGAGGGACAGCAGCGTCATGCAATGCAATTAAGTCATTGTTGACGAAACAAAGAATTAGATCACTATCATTGCAAGGACGAGACGCAACGTCTAGTTCGGTTTGACAACACGAAAAAAAGCGAAGATCCATTTCTCGACCAAGACGGAAAGAGCTAAGCCTTAGGCTCCGAGCGGGGTGGCGATATCAGAACACAAACAAGATATCGCCATTGAAAGTTCGGACTAGAAGAACCGGTGGTAAATAAGAAAACACGCACCGAATACCTGAATTCAGCTTCTTCTCCAGAAGGTCACATTTATTCAAAAAGAGTACCAAATCCACATTGGCAAGCAGTTTATTGGAACAAACTGCTTTCCATAGTAGTACGGAGTCTTCCTATCACATATATGAGTATATGAGATCTGATTAGCGTAAATAAATGTGAAATAATTTACAAGTCGGTTTATCGTCTTGTCCTCTGCAAGGACTTGGTCGAATCCTGATATTGGGGCGAGAAAAATAATAGCATCCACTGCCGTGACATGATAAAGTGAGTATATGCGCATATACGCGTTGGAAAGCACACTCACCATCGTCAAAGAAGGGGGCCCACGTCGCTATACCACCCATTAACATGCGTTGGCCCTGGGAATCAGTCAAAAGGCTCACGTCGTTGACTCCTACTTCCGCCTACGTCCACAATCCGCCACTCAGTACCACTATCCCTGCCCGCGCTGACCTCCATTTCGAATTTGTACTCCGAGACGCCTACCGTCTTGAGTCGCGCTTTGAGTACATCGTCGTCAGATGGCATATATTTCAACGAGGTGACACGCTCAAGGTCATCCAAAAAGCTTCCCACATACAAAAAACAATGAGCTCAAATCGGCCACATTGATGGTGCGGGGGGTAGAAAATAGAATAAACTTACAAGCCACTCGCGTCCTCCAGTCTAATCTTCTTCCTTCTCAAAATTTCCCTAATCCCTCGATCATTCCATAGCTGTATCATGTCCTTTCTACACGAATAAAGGACTTCTTGTGGCTCGTCCGGAGTCTCCAACCCTGTATTTCCGGCACTCATCGGTCTTTGTGCAGTACCGTGTTCATTATTTGAAGATGACGAAGATGAACTAGAACCGGCAGACGATGGATACCCAGTAAAGTTCACTCTAGCCCGCGCCAAAGCACCTTTCCAACTTGCGCCAGGACGTACGAATATCTCTTGATCGTAGTGAGATTGACTCCGTCCATGCGCACGCCCGTAACTGTTTATGGTATGAATGCTGTTGCCAGAGGGTGAAGGGTATCCACTGTTTCTACTCGGGCTAGCAAAATGTGTCGCCTCATCTTCATTTGGGGGTACCAATTTAGCAATGAGTAAGGCCTCTATATGCCGTAGTGGCAGTAAACGGGCTTTGAGTGCATCGAGGGGAGTAGTGGCGAGAGTGGCAGTTGACGACACTGGATCCGATCTAGGACTGTTATTGTAATCGACGGAGTTGTTGGCTACAGTCAATTCAGTGTCTGAATCTGGGTCAATGTCTGGATGTGAAGGTCGAATGTGTCGACGAGGTGAAGGGGGATAATGTAGTGAGGAGCCATGTGAAAACTGCATCTCGAATCCATCGCCATTACTATAATTTACTCGCTGGTTTCCCATAACATCAACCCTAACCGGTGGTAAAGGAGGAGAGTTGGTCATGGATGCGTTTGAGGGTCGGATCCGAGATATACTTCGTGCACGGAACTCCGGAGATGCGTAGGGTGAGGTTGAGGCCGGATAAGAAAGCGCATCAAGAATGGTTCGTATTGAGCGAACGATGTTAAGTTGGATGACGGCGCGCCATAGAATCCTCTCCTCACGGAAGGCAGTTGGCGTGTAGAGTCGTTGAAATTCTAGTAATCATATCAACATCATAAAGCCTTGAGAGTTTCACATCTACATACGTCTCAAAGTCGTCGATTTGCCTATGAACCCAGAACCTGTTCAACGGAAAATATGGTAAATAGAAAAAGGATACTTACCAGACTCGCTCTGGCCAAGCAATAGGAGTCTAACGATACGTTTCTTTCTTCGCGCTTGACGCTCTGCCTTGATACTGGCATCGATAGCCATACTGACGCGCTTGGCTTCGGCCTCTCTTGTTAACCTAAGCTGACATTGCTCTGGCGTCTCATTTTCTGGTGGCCTGAGGACTTCATCGAGGGGGTCGTCGGACACGGGCATTATGTATGTGATGGCTGAAGGTGGGGAGGGGGAAAACTGGTTCTCAGGCACAACATTCTGATTAGACTTGTATATAACGAATTTGAACCAGTTCAGCGTTCCTGGATAACAGGCACCGAAGCTCTGGTTTCGCGTTCGCAACCTTTCGGGACAACCGGATCGATCCGGACTCGTGCCCAAACCACGACGCTCAAAAGGTAATTTTTTTGCTGTTGCTATCCATTTCCAGGAACAGCTCCTTGGGTGGTTCCTTGCAACGAGTGTCCAACTGAAACCCCGAACATACGCACCAGTATAACCAGTTCATGATTCTCAAATTCTTGTGCCTGTCGATCCCTTATTAGGACGGAGCTCGTGCACAGCGACGGCAGCGCGTCTGGAATCACAGCACCTCGATGTTGGAATCCATGGAATATTCAAGGTACATTGGCTGCAATAGGACACCTTATCACACCTGAGGA